TGGATTAATACTTAGTCCATAGGCACACACCTGATCATCTGATCATCTACATTTGCCTTCTTACAGCACTAAACTATGTTTTCTACCTTTATCTTGCATCTACCTACCACTTCAGCATTTTATTAAAAATTATAATAATAATAATAATAATAAAGGAAGAAATGTGGGATCCACATATAAATCAAGTATAAAAATCAAACAAATATTCATATTTGACCTGATTGTTTATAGTTCATAATGTGTGATCAAAACTGTTCTGTGATGACTGCCCTTGTACTGTTCACCATGTAAGAACTTATTCACTATGTAAGAACTTGTTCACCATGTAAGAACTTGTTTGTTATGTTTCAGAAGATTGGAGACTGATGGGAATTAGGCTTGGGGTGGATTAATGATTGTACATTGAGCATTGAGTCCCCTATACAGAATTTTATTGTTGTTAACAACCATTTGATCAATAAATATGAGAGATGCCTTCTCAAAAAAAATTAATTAATTAAAATAAATAAATAAATAAATAAAAGACATTCACAGATTTTGATATTTAAATGAATGCCACCTTGATTTTCTACACCTGACTAGAGTACAAACCCTAACATATGTCTAAATTGTAGTGCATCTACCTTATTATTGTGGCTCTTTTTCAAAGTTATATATATATTAACTGAGCATTTACTCTACTCCAGGGACTAAGCACTTTACATGTATTTTCTCTTGCAAGAAAAACTGATTGAATTAATAGTAAATGATGTTCATACAGAAGATACAATATCCCTAGAATTTTAGTGACACATATGTGAACTCTAGAACTATGTTGAAATTCTGGCAATGAGGCAAAATTCTGGGCAATGTGTGGATCTAACCGATTCTGAGAAATATGCTTTACTTCATGAAACTATTATAAGGCTTGTGACTGTTCTGATTAGGTTCAGCTGTACATAACATACAAAATAACAATGCCTTTAAAACAAGGTAGAAGTCTTATTTCTCTCTCACTTAAATGAAGTCAAGGAGATGGAAAGTCCAGAGTTGTATTTCAGCTCTGTGGTCACTAGGGACAGATTTCTTCTATATTCCTGTTTTTCCACTTAAACATACTTTTAAAGATTTTATTTTATCTCCACTATTGACTTATTAGCTATACCTGTTTGTTTTATTTTTGATGGCTGTTCTAAGATTTAGAGCATATACTTTTAATTTATCTCAATTTACCTTCAAATATAAATAAAACACTTCTCATATAATGTAAATTCTAACAATTAATTCCACTTCCCCCTTCCATCCTTTGGAGTATTGTTGTCAAGCATTTTACTTCTATATGTATGATGACCCCTGTAACACAGTGTTATAATTTCTGCTTTAAATAGTCAATTACCTTTTTAGAAACTTTTTTAAATGAGGGAAATAAGTCTTCTGTATTTATTAATATAGTTACCATTCTCTGGCACTTTTCATTCTTTAGTATAAATCCAAGTTTCCATGTGGTACTCTTTTTATGCTAAAGAAATTCTTTACTATTTCTTGTAGAGCAGTTCTGCTGGCAACATTCTTTCAGCTTTTGTTTTCTTTAGCTTTCATTTTTGAAAATATTTTCTCTAAATATGGAATTCCATGTGACAGATATTTTTTCTCTCAACAGTTTAAAAATGCTCATTCATTGTCTTCTCTCATGTATAGTTTCTGATTAGAAGTTTACTGAATTTCTGTCTCTATTTCTCTAAACCTAATGTGCTCTTGTTCCACTGACTGCTTTTAAATTTTCTTCTTATCCCTAGTTTTCAACTATTTAATGATGATGTCTTTTGCAGCGGTTTTGTGAGTCTGTGTGAATATGTATATTTACCCTGCTTAGGGCTCACTGAGCTTCTTGAGTCGGGTTTATAATTTTCATCAAATATGAAAATATTGTCGATTGTATTACTCAAATAATTTTTTTGTCACCCACTCTCACCTCCTCCGACCTGGAACTCGGAGGATGCCTTCAGGTTTACTATTCTTTTCTTCTGAATGTCTAATCTGCTTCTGAGTGTTAATCCCATCCAGTGAAATTTTTATTTCAGAAGTTGCAATTTTAATCTCTAGAAATTCCATTCTTTATATCTTTAATTTCTCTCTTTCAGCATATGGAGTATATTCACAATAACTGTTTTAATGTTAACAGATAATTCTACAATCTCTGTTATTTCTGGCCTTGTTTATGTTGACTGACTCTTCTCCTGGTTATAGATTACATTTTCCTACTTCTTTTCTCTCCTTTTTAAAGGAGAGAAAATTCCTTTCCTAGAAGCCTCAAGAATTGATTCATATGCCTACAAAAAACCAAAAGTAGTGGCCAGGGTATGGATGGCATGAGGCTGAGTATCTTAGAATAAAGACATACACCCTGCCTCTAGACCCAAAGAGTCAGCTTCCCTCAAAATTGTGATGAGGAGGTATGAATGTCTTAATGAAAATTGAGTGATTATCCAGAAAAAGAAGAATGGAGGCTGAGAAGGAGGAACCACAATATCTACTATAAGGAAAGGGAGAATGATTCACAGATTTCTGGCTTGTATGATTATGAGCTAGTGATGCCATTGACTGAGTTAGGGAATTCAGGAGACTGAACAGCTCTTGAGGGGGAATTTGATGAGTTACTTTGGATAATCTGAACTTGAGATGACTCAGGATCTCTAGGTGGAGAAGTGGAATGGGGAGTTATATACATGACTCTAGTGCTCTGAAGAGAGATCTGATCAGAAGATATAATTGTAATATACCATCATACAGATGTTAGTTGAGATTATGGTAATGGATGAGGTCACCTAGGGAGAGTATGCACAGCAGGAAAAGAGAAGTCAGTAGTAGCACCCTGGGGAACACCAGCACTAAAGGGTACATCGGAAGATCGTGAAAATACTTGTGTATTGTATTGTATCAAAATTTCATTGGCTTACAATCATGCAATGGCTTTCCATGGATTCCACTAAAGAGTCCACACTCCTTAGCATATTGTACAATATTCCTCATGGTCTCTCTTACCTTTTCTGTTTCTTCTCTTGCCACTCACTGTAACCCCATCTACCACCAATAAAGCTGAGCTCTGAGGAACCTAAATATTCTTTGGTCACATGCCTCTAGAACTCTGCTCTTGCTGCCTTCCACCCCCACCCCCAATGCTCTGGTCCACTTCTCTCTTCCCTTTCCTCCACCACCGTACACAAACACACTAACTCCTGGTCATCCTCAAGTTCAAATGTTCTTTGAAGCATTTCCTGACCTTGCTTGAGTCTGGGGTATTTGTGTATCATATTTCCCTATTATAGTATTTATCATACTAAGTCTGTGTATTTACCGGTCTTCTTCTCTGCACAGTACGTTCTTCGAAAACAAGAAATGTTTTTATATTCTTGTATTTCTATTTTTGGAACCTAATAAAGTATGTGGGACATAGCATACTACATAAATTTTTTAATGAGTAATTACGTGATCTGTAAACATAAGGAATTCCAATCTTGGGACTATTTGAAAACTTCAACTTTTCCTACTCTAAATATGTTTCTAAGCATTCATCTTTTTCTTCCAGGATATGGGGTTCCAGATAGGCAGAGAAAGAAAACAGAACAGATGAGAAGGGTTGCCTTTAGTCCTCTCGAGACCTAGTAACATGCCGTCTTTCACCATAGTCCTTCACAACCTAGTCACACCTGGGTGTCCCGTGTGGGTGTAGACTTAGCTGACCAGCCCAACAGCATGCTCAGACCTCGGTTCAGACTTATTGCTACATATAAGCTTGCCAATATATTAAGCACAGTAAACAATTTTCAATTTTCCACTTATCTTTTCATTTATACCCTATTAAGTTTGTACTTTTTAAAAACTGTAGGCCTTAAAATAAATAAATCCAGTTATTTTATACTGATCAAGTAAAAGATAGCGATCTGAGTCCTGAACTTTTACCTTTGTTGACCTTAGATGTGACTGAGTTAAGAAATGTAACTGAGATTCTGATAGCGGAAATATTCCTAGTAGTTTTATAACCTAATTATTAAGTCACTGGAAGCAACTACATTTCTACAAGTGTCAGGTTAAAAAAACAAACAAACCTGGATATAAGGCAAAGAGGATTCTTTTGAGGGAAGGGAGGGAAACGGCTATTAGTGATTCAGGATTTGTGGAAGAAAATTAAGCAGTAGGGAAGACCGAACTATCGGGAGGAAGTCAGATTTTACTGGGCACTTGTAGGTGGTGAGGCTAAATATGGGAGGTGAAGAGAAGTAGGAAGGACTAGCTAGGGGCGGGATCCCTAGGCACCATAAAACAAGGAGAGCCTTGTTCAGTCAACCGCAGCTCTGAACACGTTCTCTTCCTCAGTGGGTCTGTGACCATAGTAACAGTGTGAGCCTCGCCTCTCATTCTGAGCATGCGCAGTGCAGAACGAGCAGGAAGCGTCTTCAACAACGCTGTATCCTTTTTCTTCCGTCACAGAACTACAACTCCCAAGAGACAACTCGGCGCCTCGAGGCCGCCTCCCGCCGTGGCCCTGCCCTGCCCCCTCCCTCTGGCCACGCCCCCTGTTAGTCCCCTCCCCTCCCTCCAAGTGTGTGTCAGTGACCCAGAGGCGGTGTGAGGCGGAGGGACCGTCGGGGGGCGCCGCCGCCGCCGCCTCCTCCTCCTCCTCCTCCTCCTCCTCCACCAGCAGCACTAGCCTGCCGCGCGGTCGGATCTGCCTCGAGCCCCCGGAAGCGCACCACAAAGCGGGCCCTGCGCCCCTTTTTCCGCCCACGGTTCCTCGGCGCTCGGCTCCGCGGCCAACATTCCCCCTCGCCGGACTTGGCCGGCTGGCGAGGCAGGCGGCGGCGGAACGTGGGCTGTCTGTTCGCTCTCCCCGCGCACGCACACTCCACCGCGTCGCTGCCGCTCTCGGGGCCGTGCTGGGATTCTGGCCGCCAGCAATCGTCCGGTGAGTGGAGCCGCGGCGCGCTGCCGGAGGGTTCGCCGGGGATGCGGGCAAGGCGGGTGCGCAACTTCCTCGGCGGCTTCCCGCGCGGCCGGCCGGTCTCCCCGCCCGCCTGCGCGCCCCCGCGCCGTAGGCGGCCGAGCGGGGAATTTGCGGCGCCTGCACCCCGCGCCCTCGCAGGAGGAAGCGCCTTTGTGAGAAGCCAGCCCGGCGCGCCCTCCCCCCTCGCCGGGGAGCCGGGCGCGCCGCGGCCAAGTCCGAGCCCCGCGCCCCGCGCCCCCCCCCGCCTGCAGCCGGCGGGGAGCTCCGCGGGGGCGAGGCGGAAGAGAGAAATGAAAGAGAAACAAAGGGGGAGGTGGGCTTTTGTTTGTGCGAATCTGGTAACTTCGTTCTCTTACCTTACATAACGCAGACTTCCAAGTTAGTCATTCTTTTTATTGTTAAACGATTATTGTCATCATCTCAGCGCGTCTCTCGCATTTCCTTTCATCTCTGGATCGCAAGAGCATTTAAAAACACTAATTAATTACACCTCGGGGGCCCCAATGAAACAAGTTAATACGCCTGTTTCCGTGAGTGGGTAAACTGAGGTACGAAAGAGCTCTCTAATTGATGTTTATGCCTGATCTTCCACCGCACCTAGTATCTGAGGATCTGAAGCATTTATGAGTAAGAACTCGTTCACCAGTGCCCCGTGGAAAAGTTAGATGCTTATTTTACTTACAGGTTAACTGAACTCTAAAAGAAGTCTGGGTAATTGTTGGGGAGTTCAGACAATAGTTCTTCTTAGATAGTGTTTAAGTCTTAAAACCTTTAAGAACTCTTGAAAAATGCGCCAAGTGGGAAAAATACAGTAAGTCATGAACTCACCTCACCCATCTACTTTTATACATACAGGTCTCTTACGAGGCAAGTGATAGGGGTGGGGGTAGATTTAAGTGTAGATTCAACAGATTTTAATCACTACACGCAAGGAAATATGTCTTGGTTTTCACAGAACCAGCAACCTTCTCTCATCGTTTGGTCTTCAGTATATCAGCAAATACTTGAGCACTTAATCCATAAGATGCTCGTTGAAGCTCTAAATGTATGAAAAGGTCATCTATTTGTTTTGGTTCAGAGGCTGTGTACTTTGCTTGCTCTGCAAAACGTTGCTTTGTTTTCATAAGCATCTAGTCTTTTGTTTCAGAACTGGCTTGGTCTTTGCGATATTGAATATGTGTTTTATAATTGAGGAGAAAGATAAAGTTTTTTAAATTTGCATACTAGTGAGAATTAAAATTTTGAATTGTGGAGGTTCAGTTTCTTCAGGTCTTCTGTTTCAGCTTATGTTTTCTTTAACAGAAAGTGTTTTCCCAGTGATCAGATTCACATCTTTCAAAACATTGTTCTTATTGTGAAAGTAATCGTAGAGATTTCTTTTGTTGTTTAGTCACACCAACAATCTTTTCTGGAAGAAGATACTTAACTCCCAGGACAAGTGTATTTATTTTGGTAGTTGAACCAAATTGGAAGGTACCAAAAATTTAAATCAAGCATCATTTCTACTAGTTATTTCGTGAGGTGAATAATGATCAGAACTCTAGTATTTTCACTTATCCTAAGTTCTCTTGAACCTAATTTTGTACTGTGTAGATTTTAGATTTTAGACTCTGATGGTTCCCATCAGAAGAGGAAAGTGAGCTATTTCTTGCTGATATTTTTCCACCAGTCTTCTAACCTGTCCCCCTTCTGTAGCGTGTGAAAAGAAGCCATCTTGAGTTTAAAACAGTTGGAAAATCTAACAGTTAAATAAAGAAAACTTCATGTAGTGAAGTGGTTGTAATGCTTCATATAATAAATATACGACTTATAAAGAAAAAACTGTCACCCAGATTTTTATTAGTGTCACAGAAGTTCTCAAATGTAATTATAGTAGCGTTTATTGACTTGAAAAAGGGGAGCTAGAAATGGTACCTTAGTGGCAGATTTTGGTGGTTGAGGGGGAAATAGGTGCTCTCCCTAAAATTATCGCAAAAGTGACCTTTCACTTGGTTACGTTGAACTTTTTTCTGTAGCATTTACAAAGAGATTTGTATTTTAAGGAAGCTGCTAACAGTGCCTTTTCTCAAGCACTAGAGTCCAAAAGCTCACGTTGTGTTGACTAGGGAAAGCTGCCACTGCACCTAATTTCTTTGGGACCTCTTAAAGGAAATTACTGAACAATATTGGCAGGAAATTGAGTTTAGTACTGTTGAATGCTACTGAGACAAATTTCAAGGGAAAACCTAAGTGTGTTTCCATTTGACTTTGTTTCAGCTTCTTTTTAGATTGTCAAAATGTCACTTGTTCATTAAGAGTTCTCTCATTTTAGAATATACTTTACTGTGGTTATCTTGTAGGTCAGATGATAAGGACTATAATACTATAATAGTCCTACTTTGTGAACAGCTATTTTCAGACAGAAGCTTCTGTAGCCTATAAGGCTTAGAATTGAAAGCTGTCTTGCTAACATCACATATGTACATCTTATCATGGCGCATGGTATTTATTGGAACAGAAAGGCTTATATGGATTATTTTATTACACATATTAACTATATATATTAAAATTTCATAATGACAAGTATATGATGGCAGGACATTGTTCTAAAGAGTTTCTTTGGAAAAACCAGATTATTCCAAAGTTACATTTATGTCTTTTAATTGAGGAGAATAAAATAAAGAGCCAGTGGAAAGAAGGAAGAAAGTCAGCAGAATGAAGCATATCTGATGAAGATGTTTATGGAGTACAATATTAAAGATTCCTGGCAACATTATATAAAGGACAAAATTGTTGCTAGAGTCTATAAACAGTGAATTCCACTTAGCAGTTTCAGTTTATAGATTTCTAGCCATCTTTTCCAGATTCCCTCTAAATATATCACACAGGAAAAGTAAATAGGGATTTGGATTGTTGCAGATTTTTTTCACACATGTGGTAGTGGAGGTTTATTGTTGTTTTTCGTTAAGTTTGAACTCTGCCAGAGAAAGTTTTCCCCAGACAAACGTGTGGGAACCTCAAAACAAGAAATACTGGTCGCTGAAAGAACTAGATATAATTTCAGGTTCTACCACTAGCTTTTTAAAATGTTATCTTGAAAGACCATTTATAATTTTTCCAACAGTTGAAAATAATTGTGTAACATTTTATATTTAGTAGGTCCTACATAATTTTGTTTTTGTTGCTGAATGAATTTATAAATAATAAAGAGAAAGCACAAAATTTCTTGAGTGAATGTTAGGGAATTTCTGATTTTTTTAAATAAAAATAAGTGATTGAAACGTACATCTGATTGAAACTTATCAATTACCATATCTTCCTTCAGATATAAACTTACAGGAAAAGAGCTTCATCAGGTTATTTAAGAGAAGTGAGTTGTAAATGAGTCTAAGAGGACCTGATTATTTTTTCAGAATGTTGTACAAGATGTTTTAGGGTTTTTCTTTTGCCCCAATAAACTCCATTTCAGATAGAGTTATGCATAGAATCACGCCTACAATACTTTTAAATATTTTTACTGAAAAATAAAATATGTTGCTGTTGCCAGTAATCATTAATATTGTACTCTCTCCCGGTTAATCTTGACTATTCACATAGGTTTAAGTTTTAATTCAATACACATGTAATTTACTTCCTTTCTGCATAATTTATTGCTGATTTTTATTTTATAATGAACCTCTTGGGCTGTTGTTAATTCTAAAAATATGTAGTGCCCCCATTTCCCATCATCTTCAGCAGTTTCTTTTTCTATTATTTTTTGCCTGCAGTTTGCTTTCTCCCCTAAATTGTATAAAATAAACTAAGAAATGTTTATACATACTTGACAGGAAATACAGTCAGTAATTTATTATCCTAAATGTCAGGTATATTTCAGCATACAAGGTGCATTGAGTCTGTTTTGGAGATAGAAGTGCACTTAATTGAAGGGGGTAGAGCAGGGATTGCGAATAGTTTCACCTTGGGTACCATATCTGCTAGCTTGATGGTGGCTACTTAGAGTGTTAGGTTTAGAAAACTGGGAGTCCTAGTTCAGACTCAGCAAGAAAGAGTGCTATGATTAGCAATTTCTGCTTTTGGATGGGCAATGGACTTTTGGTGTCAATGCCAAGTATATGTATTCAGTAAGTATTTATTGAATGCCTTTTATGTGTCTGGCAGTGGTCTAGAAGCTGATATCACACAGATTAAATCTCTGCCTTATGGTGTTTACATTCCAATAATAAGTAAAGAATAAGTAAAATATTTTATATCTTAAGGACAAATGGCCTGGTTTCTTCAAGACATAAATAGCAAGACATAAGAAAGGGAGGGAGAATTGTAAGATTTGGAGAGACTTAAAAGGCATATTCACCACATGCAATGTGTGTACCTTAAGTAGACTTAGATCCTGCCTTGAGCAAACTAAGTGTAAAAAGGTGTTTATGAAAAATTGGAGAAATTTGGACATCAATTGGGTATTTGATTTAAAAGAATTGTTAATATTTTTAGGCTTTTAAACAAGAGTCCTTACCTTTTAGAGATATAATGTATTTATGAATTAAAATACGATCTCTGGATTTTTGCTTTAAAATAACTTGGAGGGGAGAGGAGCATAGATGAAACAAGATGGACCATATATAGAAAATTGTTGAAAGTAAATGATGGATAAATGAGATTTTCATATTTTCTCCATTTTTGTGTATGTTTGAAAATTTCCATCATGAACAATTTTATATGTACACACACACAAGAAAATGAAGCAGAGAAGGGGGAAGAGGGACTATGTGGGATGTGACTATGGTATAGAAGGAGAATGCAGAAAAGACTCATTGAGAAGGTACTAGATATTTGAGTAAAGACCTAAAGTAGGTAGGGGAGTAAGCTTTACAGGTAATCTTGGGGCCCACCATGCCAGGCAGAGGGAACAACAAGTACAATGGCTCTGAGATAGAAGTTTGACTACAAGGTAAGAAAGTACAAGAAAACCAACATGGAGGGGTGTG